CCAGGACACAATTTTCAAGCTGAAAAACCTTTTTGATCATGTGTGTTTGCAAGTCAGTATTTCACTTTTCAGTTGAACAAAACCACCAATGAGCATAAATCAGCTCTTAGCTTATGTGAGATAAATAAATGGAGTAAAAATGCACAATAACATTTTGTTCTTTGTTATTGAAAGCCCTTGTGTATTAGTTCATTTTTATGCTGTTGATAAAGACATACCCAAGACTGGGAAGAAAAAGAGGTTTAATTGGACTTACAGTTCCACATGGCTGGGGAGGCCTCAGAATCATGACAGAGGTGAAAGGCATTTCTTACATGGTAGCAGCAAGAGAGAATGAGGAAGAAGCAAAAGCAGAAACCCCTGATAAGCCCATCAGATCTCCTAAGACTTATTCATTATCACAAAATAGCATGGGAAAGGCCAACCCCCATGATTCAATTCCTCCCCTGGTTCCCTCCCACAACACATGGGACTCATGGGAGATACAATTCAAGTTGAGATTTGGGTGGGGACACAGCCAAACCATATCATCTTGCTACAGAAAAGGCTTTCCATTTTGAAGATGATTGTTCTGTGCTGGTGAGACAGACCAGGAAAGACATATTGGGATTATCCTGACAAAATACTATTAGAGTGGCCAGGAAGGTCTTTGCTGGGCAAATGAAAATGTGTTTCCACACCCTGCTTTAGTCAGAGAGAACCTCAGTGGTCACCAATATTTGTTGACTAAATAAAGATCAAGAGGTCTATTTAATAACTGCCTACAATATGCCAGGCACTATTCCTACCACATAAAGCTTACATTCTAGAAGAAGACAACAGACTTTAACAATGATGTTGGTAAGTGATATGGTTTGACTCTGTGTCCCCATCCAAATCTCATCTCAAATTGTGATTCCCATGTGCTGAGGGAAGGCCCTGGTGGGAGGTGACTGAATCCTGGGGGCAGTTTTCCCCATGCTGGTTTCATGATAATGAGTTCTCAGGAGATCTGATGGTTTAAAAGTGTAGGGGGGGGCTTGCCCCACCCCCTGTCATTCTTGCCACCATGGCAAAACATGCTTGCTTCACCTTCCCCTTCCTCCATGATTGTAAGTTTCCTGCAGCCCCCAGTCATGCAGCGTAAGAAAATACATGGTGGGAAGTAGTGTGGAGACTGGAATTTGAAATAGACAATCAATTTAGATCTCTATGAGAAGACGCCATTTGAGCAAAGACTTGACAAAGATGAGAGAGTGAACCATGGAGATGTGTCTGGATTTGTCTGGAATATTCAAGGGCAGCAAGGAACAGTATGGCCAGAGCAGAGTGTGCAGTGGGGAGAGCTGTAGAGGATGAGGTCGGAGTGGAAGGCAGTAAGGGGAAGGGACAGTTCTGGTAGGTTCTGGTCAAGTCCTTGCTTTCATTCATAGTGAAATGAGAACCAATTTCAGCCAATCACAGGGGCAATAGGTAACTGACAAAATATGACTAAAAGGATCACTCTGGCTGCTGCATGAAAATAGACACCAGAGTTAGTGATAGAAATAAGGTATCTGTGTCAGCTATGTAATAATTACAACATCTCAGCAACACGAACAGTAAGAATTTATTTAGCTCCTGTGTCTGTGTGTCACTTGGAGTTCTGTGATCTAGGCTGGGTCCCCTGAGGCCATCTCTCTGGGGATGAGATCTCCCTGCTCTACCTCCCAGCCTCCTTGAGACCAGAAGGCTACAAGTGGAATTTTCTTTTCAGGAGAATCATTGGCTTGTAGATGTCACCTTAAGCCATGATCTTGATTTAACATTAAAGTTGCTTATCACATAAAATTGTGGACCCTGAGTGTAGAGTTTTTCAGCATGCCATGTGAAGAATAGACAGTAGATCTTCCAGGCATTGACTCACTAAAATAAATGTCCAGGGGGAAAGGGCTCACAGTTTAAGTGGGTGATAAGATATAACTTTTTACTTCATGACACTGGATGCCAAGAGATCAATTTTTTAAAGCTAATTATTTCGACTGGTTTCTCGCATTACATACAACAGTTTTCATTTGGTGTCCTGAACCTATCTCTTCAAGAGCTGAGATACCATATTTTTAACATTGGGGATAAGACATCTGAAGTTTTAAAAAAACAAATTGCAGACAACTCCATTCCTGAAAGTGGCTATTCTCCAAAACTATTTTCTTGTCTTCTGAGAGAGAAACAAATGGTTTATTAATGAGCATATTTCAAAGCCACATCTAAACATTATGATAGAACTGGAAGAAAAGTTCTTAATACAGCCAAAGAATAAATCAGGAATCCATTCAGCATCATCTTCCTTGTTGAAACATCCGGATTTCTACAGTAGGATACTCAGGGCTGGTGGGCACCAAGACTACCGACAGCAAGTCCTCTGGAATCTGGAGGTCATGCACTTTTCAGATACTCAGAACAATCTGACAGAGCCACCCTCCATGTCCTTTCAAAGATGTATTACAACTTAAGATTTTCAAATTTAGAAGAACTACAAACTAGGAATAGCAATGGACCAGAGAGAAAAACTCATCCGTGGCTCTCACGTTCCACCAAACAGTGAAAGATCACCAACCATATCATGTTTCTTACTGGGACAATACTATTATGGCTTGCATTTTAAATGCAGTTTCAAGTTTACTATGAGGAAGTAGTGAATTCTTTTTTCTTTGGTAACAGTGGTCTACAAGCATACCAAATTCCTGGTAGGTAGCTCCTATAGTGTTAACATTGAGAAACACATGCCAAGAAGCTGCTAGCAAATCCAATTCCTTCTCTCACCTACCACAAGTTATGTTATGCTAAGTATCTTTGACAGATGGCCTAGGAAGTAGTACAGGCAGCTTTCCACTTGAAGGTAAAAAAAATATACTCCTAATAATTTTCAGTCCACAACACTCAGCTGTGCCAATAAGCCAAGCCAGTTATAAGATGAAACAAGTACAGCCATAAAAACAATGACCCTTCCAAAATAAAAAGGAAAAAATATACACACAACTCCACTTAGCAGCTCAATTAAGATGACCTCTCGTCATCACACTTGTTACAATGACAGCTCCTCCCTCTAACACCAGCTAGACTTGGCTTTCTCTGGTGGCCTGGAAATGACAGGGGAATTATTAGCTCTTTCTCTCCAGGCATCAGCATTCCACAAGCACGTATGGTGGCTTTAACCTCAAAAGAGTTCCTGCTCTACGGGGTAAACTTTCCTCCATGGTATGTAATTAGTCTATTGACGCATGTCCCATGCAGGGCTGATCTTCTGGAGGGCAGCATTAGCAGGTCAAGTTCAAGTGCCGAAGGCAGGTAGCACAGCTGCATAAGATTGCAGAAAGCTCTCTGTGGGGAGAGGCATAGGCCTGAATGTCTCTGAGCAAATATTGATTCCTGGGAGACAGGACAACAGTTTAAACCATATGTCACCAAGGTGTGCCTGCAAGCATGTACACACACACACACACACACACAGGAGGGGTGTGTGCCAGCCTAACTGTTCCTCCTCTGGGACACAGATGGCTCCTCTGCCACCATTCACAGGAATTCTGAACCAGGTAAGGGAGGGTTGGTCATGAGCAGAGGTAATAAGGAGCAAAAAGGGAGACCAGAAGCTGTTATACATGGACAGCCCCTGCATGACATTTGGCAAAAAGAAAATTATTGCTTCAACATCATTTTCCATTAAACACAATTAAAAGAAGGAAATCACAACCAAACATAGCTGAAACAGCAACTGATTGGAGTAAGGAATGTGGGACTGAAGTTAAACAGAGCTGAGTTAGTGCGATCACAGGGAAGACAGACGCTGGCACTCACTGTCAATGGAGTTGTACCAGAGCGTTCAGATTGTTTTTCTCATTTAGGCTTGTAAGAAACGTGAGGACTTTGCACTACTGCAGAACAAAGAGAATCACAATTTGAGTTTCTCCAGTTTTGAAGCTGAGTTTATTTGATTCCGAAACTATCTAATTTCAACGCTTAGAATCCCTCCTCATTCAGGAATTTGGGGAAAATATGAAACCATGTTTTCTCTCCACCCCGCCCCGTTTTTGCTAGGCTGATGGGTGGGTTTGCCGTGAGGAGAGTAGGCATCCCCCCAATGGGGACCGTCACCACACGTGTGCATAAAACATGACAGTGACTGTGGTACCCAGAAGACACTCAAATGAATTTTCCCTGAGACACCACCAGCAACACCCATGCATAATGCATGAGTTCAGCCATCTGTGGAAATAAACCAAATGATTGTAAATGCGTGACTGAAAATATTGGGAATGTTGAAGACTCCAATCAAGGGGGCCAGTGTGTAATTTCAGAGAAACAAAACTCAAATGTGATTGTAATTTAGCAAAATAAATCTGAATCAATTGCATTGTACCCAGTCTAAGAACAGACTCTGGAACACAAGGGGGAGTAGGTGGCGTGGAGCACAGACAAGGGATCCCACAACGCCCACGGTCGACAGGGCCTGTCCAGCTCCATAACATCAGGGACGTCCATTCTGCCACGGTGCCAGACTGAGCCCTCTGGCCACTTAGAGTCCACCGCATACGAGGAGGGGGAACCCATGGCTGTTCTGGAACTCCCACCCCTGCAGCAACCAGAGCAGCTCTCCCTTGATAACTCCCACATACTGGTCTTCACTGAACATTTCAGTTTTTTAAAAAGGAGTGCCTCCATCTGAAAACAGCTGACCTGAGTTAAATACCTCCAAGACTCTCTTTTATATTATTAATACTTCCCTTTGCCCTGACGTCACGGCTACTAAGCAACCTTCCAGTAATTCTTCTTCCCCTACTAAAGGGAAGACAGCTCCCAAAAGGCTACTCATGTTAGTCACTCGCATTAAATACATCCAATTGCAGACATAAAACGCAGTATCAGCAGTCTCTTCTGAGATTAGTTGGTTCCAATACCCAAGCGCATTCCAAGTCAAGTCACCCTCCTGTCTGGCTGAGGCCAGCCCTCTGATGAATTCATCCGCAAGATACTCAGAAACTCACCGGCTGTCCTTCCGCTATCTTCACATTCCAACATGTAATGGTGAACTAAACGGTTAACGTTGAATTCGTCAACTGCCGAGAACCCTTCTATCACAGTAAAACCCAGTGAACGCGCAAGCGGACAGTATTCACCTGCACTTGCTGTGGTTGGGGGAATGGTGACTAGCACAACTCAAACAGCCGAAGGAGAGCAAAGGTCTTGTAAGTAAAGGGGAGGATTTTTGAGGATTCACGCAAACCAAAAGTTGTTATTTCCCTCCTTAGAGCCAGAGGGAAGCATGAGGCCCATCCACATGGAACAAGAGAAGTCATTGTATGTCTTCACAAATGTGTAATTAAAACACCCGTGCAGCAGGGGGTTGCAGAAGGCATTTGCTGAAGGAAAAAAATTCCTCCAGCACCTAAGCTTTGGCCAAAAGCATTGTTTAGTTTCCTATGGCTACTGTAACAACTTACTACAAGGGAATAAACTTGTGCTGTGTGTGGAAACACAAGTTTATTCCCTTACAGTGCTAGGAGTCAGAAGTACAAAATCGGTCTCACTAACCTAAAAGTCAAGCTGGTTCCTTCCGGAGGATCTGAGAGAAGAGTGTTTTCTTGCCTTTATCTGCTCCTGGAGGCTAGCTGCATTCCTTGGCTCAGAACCTTCTCTTCGCATCTCTCCAATCTCCGTCAGCACGTTTCCTACTACTAACTGTGATCACCTGATCCCTGCTCTATAAGGACCCTGTGGCTCCATTGGGTCCACCTGATGCTCCAGCCTCATCTTCCCATCTCAATAGCCTGAATTACACCTGCAAAGTGGCTTTCAGTGTGTAAGGTAACATATTCACAGGCTCCAGGGATTTAGACGTAGCTGTCTTTACGAGCCAGTATTCAGCCCACCACAAGTGTCATAGCCATGGGTGGGAACAGGAGTTCCCACTCAGACTGAAATACCATTAATAATCCTTGAAGGCTGAGCTCTGGGTGGTTGCATTCTCAAAGACAGAAGTCTTTGTAAATTTAGATGCCAACTCTGCCTCAAGAAGAAGTTACACGTGTGAAGTGGGCTGGGCTGGGTTACTGTGGCACCGGGGTCACCACAGGACATTCACATAAACCCACACAATGCCCAGGACTGGCACAATATAAGGAGAGAATACTAATAGGGCCCAACAGATAAATCCCAATCCCAGCCAACTTGACATTTTAATGAGTAATTGACACCAGATTCTCAAGTATAAAGAGCACCTAGCATATTTAGGATCTGTGTGTGTGGTTTTTTTTTGAGACAGAGTCTCACTCTGTCACCAGGCTAGAGTGCAGTGGCACAATCTCGGCTCACTGCAATCTCTGACTCCCTGGTTCAAGTGATTCCCCTGCCTCAGCCTCTCAAGTAGCTGGGATTATAGGCAAGCACCACCATGCCTGGCTAATTTTTTGTATTTTTAGTAGAGATGGGGTTTCACCATGTTAGCCAGGATAATCTCAATCTCCTGACCTCATGATCCGCCTGCCTTAGCCTCTCAAAGTGCTGGGATTACAGGCATGAGCCACCACATTTGCCCTGTGTGGCTTTATTTTACAATATATAAACTGGAATGAAAGCTGTGTTCTACAAGGTCTTCTTAATTATTTCTTCTTGTTTTTCAGAGTCGTGGGTAGAAAATTCCTTTAGATCTTGTTAAGCAAGTAACCTGACCAAAGGTCCTAACTAAAGCTGGTTGTCACCATAGCAAGGTCTGAGGTGGTACTGAGGGTCACCACCATACGAGACAGTCCTGTTGACTGTGCCTCCCGTTCCAAGGTCAGGCATGCTGAGAGGCCCTCATTAGTCTGAATATCTCTCCAGCCACACCTGTCACAAGACTAAGTCAAAATCTGTTTCCTATTAGGCTTGATATGAAACATATCTATTAAAATATATCTATATATTACAGATTATTCTGACTGTAATGGATAAAGTAGAACTATAAATAAGTTGGAGCACAGCATTCGGTGAATAGTAGCTATTGTTATTGATATGATTGATATGTTTTTCTGATATGTGAAACTGGGATAATGATATACACAAGATTGTTGTAAGAACTGAGTGAGGTAACTTATGTTAAGCACCTGATGCAGTATCTGACACCTGGAAGATGCTCAGTAAAGATTCATTCCCAATCCCCTTTCCCAGCACTCCTCACAATCACTCTATTGAGGTAACTAAAAACAGAACCATCGGCTCCAGGAAACTGCTGTCAAAATCCACCTTTCACCTGAGACAACCCTCCACCCCACCCTATTCCTCTCCTGGCAGCTCAGAGGCACAGACTCATTTTTCAGATTATCTCAAGGTGTACCCCTGCCCTTAGCCTGTCCCTAAGGAGACAAGGAAAACTGGTTCCAATGGGACAGGACACTAAGGTGTGCAAGCAAGTATCTACTAGGGGCCTCTTATTGAAAGATCCTATGAGTGACAGAAACTCAGCTTTAACAAGCTTAACAAGAAAAACGTGAGGTATTTGTTGACTCATAAAACAGAAAAATCTGGTAAGCATATTTGATAAATACCACTGGTATTTAAAAGATGTCAGGAATTGTGTCTTGCTCCATCTCTTGAATTTGCTTTCCTCTGTTGTCTTTCTCTTTGTCAAGAAGCTATCCTCCATCAGGGTGGTCCCTGATCACCAGCTTAACATAGAGGGAGCCTCTTTCTCAATAGCTCCAACAAAATCCCTGGGCCAAAATTCTCTGAATATTTTGGGCCATATCCATCCCTAGATCAGTCACTTAGCAAAGGATTGTAGTATGCTTTGGCCAGGCCAAGGAACATGCCCACCCTTGGAGCTCAGATACACATGCTGAAGGGGAAAGGAGGTAGTTATCAGCTCCCACCTGAATTCCATGGATTGAGAGCTGGGGGATGAGGAGTCTGCCGAAACAACAGTGCTAGAATGAAAAGAAGTAGAAACAGATGCTGAGAAGCAAAATCTTCCAGAAGACCTAAGATATAGGGGGCCTGGGTCAGTTTGGCCACATGAGGTTTCCAGGCCAATGTAGGCCCTGGAGGTGGGAGGAGAGACATGTCATTTCTAAGCAGCTCTTCAGGTTACAGTTCTTGCTTTGTCTGCCTGTCGTTAAGTGGATTACCACAACCCATCAGCCTTTCAAAACAGTTCCTGCAATGTCCATGGTTCATTTGAAAAAGAACAAAGTGCTATAAAGAGCACTTTAGAAGAGCTTACATTCTCAGAGTCTGAATCAAGGTCTGGGGTTAAACCAGACAAACGGCCACTTGACCTTGCTGCTCTGCCATGGACAAGCAGGGGTGAAGGGAAGGATATCAGCTGAGACAGGTGGTCAGGAGGAGGTCAGAGAGCTGATAACCCCTGTGCTTGAGTCATCTTGTTTCTCAAAGGATGCTCTGGAAATGGGTAATATAAACAAGAAAATAATTTAAAAAATCAGTTTGTTGGTCAGATTATTGTGTGGGTCCCCATCAACCTTGACTGCATTGAAAATGACCATTTGTCCCTGACTCAAGGCATCCCATCTCCTAATCAGCCCTTAATCCCCAGCAGTTCTCCAGTTCCTTCCATGGTTACTGAATCCCCTTCTTTTGAACAACCAAGGGCCTCAGGAAAGACTAAATAAATTATAACCAATAGTTCCTTTTATCTACTGCTTTATTTCAAGGACTTCTGACAGGTTCAAGAAGCATAATTTTACTCACTCCCGAGGCATGCCAGCTTGTTCTGTCCAAATTCCACCCAACCCCTTGCTTTAGAAGACTTTTGAGTGATTCCGTTTGCGTCGTCTGTCTCCTTACAAAGGAGTTATATCATCAGTCTGTAATTCCCAAGGATAAGCCAAGGATTCTGCTTTGGCATTCGCAGTGTGAAATAAATGTGGCTTAAATTAAAAACAGAGCAAAGTTCTGACCTGTTTGGCCATGGCACTACACAGCCTGATTTTCAGGATGAAGTGGTTTTGCACCAAATTGGCAAGATAGCCAAGAATATGCTTTACCCTGGCCACAGATAAAAATCATTCAAGGAAGTTTTCTAAAATAACCATGCCTGAGCTTTGCCCCAAACCAATTAAACACACATCTTTGGATTTTGGGCCTATGTTCTGGAATTTTCTTTCAAGTGTTCAGAGGGTTTGAGAACTACTGGGAGAAGATGGGGATGTCAGGACATTGGGTCCAAGTTGCCATTTATGATTCATCTTCAGGCTGGCTTCACCTGGGGAAAAAATCTGAGGAGCTGTGAGCCCAGTTCATCGTGTCTTGAGTACATGAGTTTATGAATTAAAGGATCTTGAGTCCACTTTAAAGGAGGCCAAATTTCCATGCTTATGAGGGAAAAAAAACTAATAACCAAAAACCTCTGTCGAGTCATAAGAGGATAACGACCGACAGAGGAAGTTTGTCACCAAAACTATAAAGATCAGACCGTTTGGGTGTAGTTAGCAAAACCTTACAGTGACAGCATCAACATGTTCACTCCTCCCAGACTTGGATGCTCGTTTGCTATATGCCCTTGGATATATCTAGCACCCTCCCTTGCCAAGTTTACTGACTTAAGGAATGGGCACGGCCTTTGTGGTACTTAAGAGATCCTTTAAAGAAACAAAAGGCATTCACCATTGACTAAAACTAACTTTTGACCTATAATAACTGAATGAAAACACAGCAGAAGTTAATGAAAGAGGGGGCAAGTCTTCCTAATAAATGCTACCTTTACCTCCCTCCCCATTGCTTTCTGTTAAAGAAACAAGGGAAAAAAATTCTGGAAATGCAACACGCTAGGTAGAGCATATAAGGCTCCCTCAGTGTTCTGAAGATAAATGCTTTGAAAAGTAAGCTAATCAGAGATACTCAACTGAATTATGTTCAGAGTAAACTGGAGATTCAGAAGTCTTCACAATCTGTTAAAATGTAAAAACCCACAAATTTCAAAGAGCATACCAGATCTACAGATGTATTAGTGTGTTGTCAAAATTTCTTTTTTGTTACAGAGAAACAGGAAATAATAAAAGTAAAGTGGAGGGTTAACCATTGGTATTAACCATTCCAAAGCCACTTGACAATGAAAATTAGCATGTAAAAACTAAACAATAATATCCAGTGAGAAAGCCTAGAGTCAGGTTGACATACCAATGCCTCTTGCCATTTATTCTTTCGGAGTCTTCAGTCCTCCTAAGACAAGTAGCTGAGAAGGTGGACTTAAACTCTTTTTTCTTTTTTTCTGTGAGATGGAGTCTCACTCTTATCACCCAGGCTGGAGTGCAGTGGCATGATCCTAGCTCACTGCAACCTCTGCCTCCCAGGTTCAGGTGATTCTCCTGCCTCAGCCTCCCAAGTAGCTGGGATTACAGGAGCCTGCCATCATGCCTAATTCTAATTTTTTTCTTTCTTTTTTTTTTTTTTTTTTTAGTAGAGACAGGGTTTTAC